TTGAAACCCAAAGTTTTAAAAACACATGTTAAAAAAAATTGTTTTCACATGCAACTGGGAAATAAGAAATACAGGAAATGGGGTATAGAAATCTACCCTGCCTTACAGGAAAATAGAAGGGGAAGGGTATAAGAGAAGGGGGGGTAGAGATTGAAAGGAGGGCAGATTAGGGGAAGGGGTATACTGAGTACATGCCATCTCAGGGTGGGGGGAGAGATGAGATGGGGAGAAAACTTGGAACTCAAAATCTTGTGGAAGTAAATGTTGAAAACTAAAAATAAATTTAAAAAAAAACCCTAAAGATGTGGTCCTTTGACTAAATCCAAACTTCACATAACAGATTTGCTTTGGATTCAGTCAAAGGGCCCCACTTGAGGACCTTGAGAGCCACATGTGGCCTCGAGGCCACAGATTACCCACCCCTGGCTTAAATTAATCCATCAATAAACATTTATTAAGTACCTCTTATAAGCCAGAGACTATGCAAAGCAATGGGGATATAAAAAAAGGCAAAAGATGGTCCCTGCCTTGTAGGAGCATACAATTCAATGGGAGAGATAACACGCAAAGAAATATGTACAAAACAAGTTATATACAGGATAAACAGTAAATAATTAATATCAGGGAATGTTCTGGAATTGAGGGATTAGAGAAGACTTTTACAGAAGTTTGGATTTTAGTTGGAACTTAAAGGAAGCCAAGGAGGCTAGTAGTCCAAGCTGAGGCAGGCATGGGGGATTACAAAAAATTTTTAAAACCATATTCATATATGCAATATGGATATGTGGATATATATATATATATACAGAAATAAAATATGTAGAATACAAAATATACAGAATATACAAATATATAGAATATGCAAATATATAAAAATATACAGAAACAAAACCAATTATAAGCCATACTCAGGAATGACTGAGCTTTGGCGGGGGCTGGTGGAGATGTAGAGGAGTAGAGCAGGAAGTACAAACGATAATCAGACTAGTATGGTATTTCAGGGCAGACAGATCTTTGTAATAACCTTCAAATCACAATAGATGAGAGGCCTACTTTACCTATGCATAGGACTGACCATGAATGGCTAATGTATAACACGTGTGCAAATGACATTGGCATCTTTCATATTTGGAAGTTTTGAAAGTTAAACTGTTTACTAAGAGTGACTGCTACTTGGTTGTGTGGGTGTGTCTGAGATGGCTGATCCATGATTCACTGAATATCTACACATGAAGGAGTTTTCTTGGGTCCTTGGCTACAGATACTATTTACCATTCTCTTACTCTTTGTTAATCTCTTCCTAGCCTCAAAATCATCCTGAAGCGACCCTGACATCACAGCATGACTGAGAGCTATATCCAAGACTGTTTGGTCTCCCTTTGCTCCTTTGCAATAGGCCACAGCTGTAGTTCATTGTCTGAAGATGTGCTTTTCCCATTCCCTCCTTGTTGTGGTTGCCTCACTTACTCCTCATGCAGCAGCTGCTTGAGTATACTGCTGTCATCTATTCCCTACATGTGTCCCACCCAAGGAAATTATGTTTGGGACAAGCATTTTTCAGTGCTGGTAAGGCCAATTCCATTATGGGACTTGATTATTCACAATCCTGGCTCACCATTTAATAGCTAGGCTCAGAAGTGATGTGCACAAGTACAAACACACACTTGAGACAAAAATGTGATGCAGATTATGTTTCCCTGATTCTCTTAGAGGCATGAGTTTTATAAGCTCTTATTATGTTCTAAAATTTTCCCTTTAATTTGTTAAATACATCTCCCACCAGCAAGCATATAATTCTTTGTAGTATGTGGTAAAACTAAAGACTCCTATAGAAGGGTTACATACTATTTTCAGGGAACAATGACTTGGAGTGAATAGAAGTGACTGTACCATCTCTTGGGTGGTAGGGAACCCAGGAAGCCAAGAGGAAGTGGTGGCACAAAACATACTTAAGAAATGTCATCAAAGCAAGTCCTGAGGCTTGTTGGTAGAATAGGAGTGGTATTTCCTAGGGCCCCACCATTGAACTATGTTTAGTATTTAGGTAATGGCCTGTTTCCATAGTAATTACTAGTAGACAATGTGGTAAAGTGGATAGAGTGCTAGACCTGAGATATTAGCTATGTGACTGTTAACAGGTCATTTAATGTTTTTTCAACTTTAGTTGCCTCATCTGTATACAAATTAAGATAATAAAGGCACCTGTTTTCCAATGTTGTTTTGTAGCTCAAATGATATGTTCCAGTGTTTTGCAAAATTTAACAAGCTATATAAATATTAGTCATTATTAGTATTACTGCATTGTGATTGAGTTTATACAATCCAAAACATTGTAGGGAGTTGACAATTAGTGGGGTTTTTGGGGTAGCATAGACAGCCAAATTGGGTAATTCAGGACAAACTAGGTTTACCATCCACTATATTCACCAGAAAATTGCTGAATATCTCCTTTATTTTATATTGCACAAATCTTACCTAAGAGAATGAATTCTAGCATTTCTTAGCAGTATAAAGCAGGACAATTAATAAGAAAAACGTTGTTTAAATAATATAAATGGTAATTAGCAGCAGCGGCTACTGAAAGAATTAAAAACATATGAAGAACAAGTGGGCCCAAGTTTATAGAAGTATATATGTACATACATATACACATATATGTATATATGTGAGTATATATGTACATATGTGTGTGTTTATATGTATATGCTCTCCCTAGAGTTTTCAGGTCCCTCTTTTCTTATTCTGGCTAACCAGAACATGCCCAGTAGTTGACAGAACAAAAGAAAAAACCTGTGAGCAGAAATAATAGGTTTCTGTGTGTAAGGGTATCATATTTCATCTGTTGGTTTGATTCACACCTGTGACCTAGGAAATCAAGCTTATGCAGATTCTGGAATAATGATATTTTTAGGCATTCTCACCCCTGTCATGAAAGCTTCATAGAACTTCTTAAATATAATATGAAATTTTGACACTTTCAATATAATCCTTTGTTCTGCAGTAACTTTACATTAGTTAAATTTTAGAGACTTTCCCTCTGCCTTCTTTGGATTGCACTTTCTATGCCTTGGCAAGCTATGAGCAAAGCACAGTAAAGATCTAATTTCCCTGCTCTTATCAACTTCCCCCACACCCCAAACTTTCATTTCCCTTGGCCCTGTCTGTAATGACATATCCCAAAGAATCAAGAGACTGCACACTAGGAGAAAAAGGCTTGATGTGGCTTCTGGCTAGAGTTACAATCCCTCCCACTTTTGCTGTGTTCCCTGTTCACACATGCCCATGTGTTTTTGAAAGTACTGGAGGGAGAGGCTGGGGACTAAAACCTTGGCAGCTGGCAAAGTCACAATAGCCCCAAGTTGAAAATGACTGAGCTTCTGACTGACAGTCATGAAATTGATGAGAAATACAATGTGTTCTTATCTTAGTCCAGACTGGATGGGTTATGTTCTCTACAGCAGTTGGGACTGAATTGCATATAGTTCCCTAGAGCATGACTTAGGAGTTAGGATGTTCAGAACTCAAAAATATGAAACAGGTTCCAAGTTCAGCTGCAGTTCACCTAATATAATGCATGGATCTAGCCTTGGAAAATATAACATAGATCACATTAGCCTTTTATGGTATTTTCTTTCACATCCGCTTTTATTTTTCTGTATAAACTTCCTGGGCTCTGTGTCTGCTTATACTCTTTTTAACTTTTCCTAACAAAGAAATCTTTGACAATATGGCATGAATGTCATTATTCATGAACACACTATTCTTTCCTTGCATTTGGCTCATTCTTTTTGATAAAGAAATTTAATAAAAATAATTGTTCTCCAAAAGGAAAGTTGCTTCTTTATGTCTAACTGATCTATCTGTATCTCAATAATCTTGCAAACAAATTGACATGTAAAAATTGTAAAATTATTGTTACAAAATTTTTTTTAAGAAGAAAGACTTTTAGTGTTCTCTCACTTTGGCTTCTAATCACTTTAGTTTACAATTCTTTTTCTTTTGCCCCTCTTGTTTTCACGTTTTTTATCACTGGATTTTTAAAAAAGTTCTTCAAATTCATCTTTTGGAAGATCTATAATGTGATTGCAGAAGGAAAGGAAAGTGGAGAGTGGATCAGTTTTCCAATTTGGCCTATGTATCAGCTTAATTAAGTAGGGACTTTTTCCCTCAAATAATTTTTTGCCTGCATTATGTGACTATTAACTTTACTCTCCATTTGACTTGGACTGTCTTGACATGGGGCATGCCAAGAAGTCAAAAGCCTGTAGTGATTCTGCTTAGGTGAGCAGAGGTTACAAACTGCTAGTTAACTATGGATCCAAACCTTGTACAGCAGTAGTATCAATCTCAAATTGAAATGGGAGTCACTAATCTGTATGTAAAGATTCTTGCAGGCAATATATTGACTTAGTTTTTAAAATGTGTTACTAGCTATGTTTAGTGTATATTTGTATTTATTTAATTTATTTATTACCTATATCAAATTACTTACCATCTTAGGGTGGGGGGAGGTGAGAAAGATAAAGAGAAAATTTGGAACTCAATTTTTTTAAAAAAAAATTGAATGTCAAAAATTGTTTTTACATGTAATTAGGAAAAAATGAAATATTATTTTTTTAAATTGTGCAATCACAATCATGCCCTCTCACACTGTGGAATTTGTGTCCTGAATTTCACAAATCTTTGCTCAAGTGCAATTGATTGAATGTCGTCACAACTATTCAGTTTTTCAAGCAAATCAAAACCAGGGTACTTCAAACTAAATTGGTCATTGACATGAAAGAAAACACCCTCTAAACCCTTTTGGAGCAATGCTTTTTGTCCTTAACCTTACAATAAATTGAAATCTCACAGTCTGAATGTCTTCTGTGAGAAATCCAAATGGACCACAGAATTTAATGTAGTGTAACTTAAAGAAAGGTGCTACACAAACTAAATTACACCTGGTAAATGTATTTCAAAACCTGAATTGCATCATAACAAGTTTTCTATTCTTGCAGCCCCCAGTGAAAAGACAACCACCAACAATTATTTGTTACATTTGTGGTCGTGAATTTGGAACTAAGTCCATCAGTATCCATGAGCCACAGTGTCTGAAAAAATGGCATAATGAAAACAATTTGTTGCCTAAAGAGTTACGGAGACCAGAACCGAAAAAAACAGAAGTCAGAACCATTGGAGGTAAGCTACTGGGGAAGACAAGGGTGGAGTTATATAGACAAAAGAGTTCTTTCCATCTTTCCTAAAATGTGAGAATACTCTTTATTCATACTTTTTTCTTATTTGTTCATAATTCTAAAATCAACATTTTTAATCTTGGACACTGTTAAAGGGAAAAAACTTGTCAAAGTGCAATTTCAAAAAAACTTGCCTTCAAAAAGAACAGACATTTTCTGCTCAAGGCTAAACTTGAGGAGAGAGGAATGGGATATATATATATCACCTGTTTTACATGACCTTACTTAAGGATCATTTTATATAGCTTTTAAAAGTGGCATCTGAAATGTAAAATATCTCCAGCTCAGACCTAGCTGTGCAACCCCTCTAAACCTATTTCCTCATCGAAAAATGGAGAAAATAAAACTTATACTATGCCCCCTATACAATTATTATGAGAAAAGTACTTTATAAACCTTGAAGTATTATACAAAGAGGAGGTATTATTTTTATTATGTTACCATAAGGCAACGTCTTCAAGAATGGGGATATACCTTAGTGCTCACAGAGACCCTCATGTTTATCTAACGTGGTTAAGAACACATTCCCCTAGCACAAGCACAGAAATTGTCTCACGGCACTTCTCTAACGAGATCACACTGTCTGGTTCTTAGTTTGATGCAGGGGCTGGACTAATTCTTCAAACTCCTTCCAGGAATGGTGCAGAGAGTTTCGTAGTCCCCTGTGGTGCCAAGTATTGACTCTCATGATAGAATTGTAGACATTTCCAGGCAAAAATTATACATAGTCTCTTCCTTGAAGACAAACACATATACATACACTCACAAATATGTATACATGTGTGTATATATATGTGCAATACATATGTGTGTGAGTGTGTATATGTATGTGTGTACATGTGTATTATGTTGCTTTTGCTGAGTCTTTTAAGTCTTGTTCGACTCTTTATGACACTATTTGGGATTTTCTTGGCAAAGATAGAGTGGTTTGCCATTTCCTTCTCCAGCTCATTTTACAGATAAGGAAACTTAGGCAAACAGGGTTAAGTTACTTGTCCAGGGCCACACATCTAATAAGTGTCTGAGGCCAAATTGGAACTCAAGATGAGACTTCCTGATTCTGAGCCCAGAGGTCTAACCATTGCACCACTTAGCTGCCCAGGTGTGAGCATAAAAGGAGGTAAAAAGAACAAAAGATGACAGCATTTGTGTACACATGGAGCCTATTTAGACTGCTAACCACCATCACATTTAGCAGTCTTCTTTTCCTAAATTTGTTTCTTCCTCTCTGCTCACCACTCTACATCCCCTTCTCTGCATGAGCAAAACTTTCATGTTTCTGGGAGTTGGGATGGAAATAATTTACTCTAAAACCTAGGATGGATCACTGTGAAATCATTTGCATGCTGGTTAGACAGGAAGATCATTGTGACTGCATTTCTCTTAAGTTTCCCTCTCGATTTGTGCTGCCCCATTTCTATCATTGCTGACATCCCTTTTTCTTAATCAAAGAACCTTCATGCTATGAATTCCCACCACTTAAGACTTCAGTCTCAAAGGTGACATAGTCCGCTCACCCAGCCGCAACCAGACACATGGTCCCAATCTGTTAGGTCTATGCAAAGCCTTCTCCAAAATTATGTAAACCCTTTTCAGTGATGCTTCCATATAGTATCACTGAACAAAAATGATTATACTGCTTACAGGATGTTTTGTGTTTGGATTAAAACTGATCTGGGTAAAGAGAAAGTTAATCCCATTTTTTAAAAGTGGCTTTTCAAGGTACTCAAAAAACACATTCATTTTCTTCACAGAACAAGGCAGTTGCCTGAGCCATGAGAGAAAAAACTGTTGTGCTGAAAGTTACCTGCTTATTGGGAACAAAGATATTATGAGATCTAAAGTTTTCTGTGTTCACATGAACTATTAGATATGAATCATTTTTAAATAATCTGAAGCCTTAATGAAGAGATATATGCTATATCTGAGACAGAAGCTATCTAACATATATAATGTATATAAAATTCCACATTAAAAATTTATTTAAAAGTGGTCCATTTGCTTACAGTTACAAGGTAGTCAGTCATATTGCATTTAAGCTCTTCTTTTTAAGGTCCTTTTGCTGACACGGAATCTCACATTGTTTCTCTAAAATAAGCTATGTGTATTTTTTTTATGTTCCATCAATGAAGGTTATATGATCTAAATACTATGTGTGGATGTACATTTAAGGAAATCTTCTGTTTAGTAGCTTAGCTATTCTGCTTGGAATGCTTCCACATTACTTTCAAGATAAAAAGAGCTAAGGTTTTAGGATGAAAACCAGCTTGAAACTCACTCTTAGCTGGAAATGCTGGTTTCCTCAAAATGCTCTGAAGTAATATGACAGGAGAGTAATCTGAAGACTTATGCTCCTCTCCTTTGGTAAGCTCATAAGAATTTATTAAGTATCTCCTGAAAGCAGTACAAAAAGTAATATTTGCATGATGATTATGTTTAAAAAAAAGAGAGATGTTAATAATTAAAACCAAGAACACTTACCACAGGCTTTTCCCCTTTCTTTAAGGCATCTGGGTAAGTGCCCTGGTCCATAGTTAGCTTTATTTAGCCCTTGGGACATTTTGCAAAAGCAATATGATTTGGTTAAAAAGGCTCAGTGAACAGGTATTTCCTGAAAATATTTTCCATAAAGAGTTGAATATGATTCTCCAGAATGAAAACTGATCTTTTTTTCTCCCCTGCCCCTTTTTGACTTTTCAGCCAAAGGCTACTATGATCTAGATGCTATAAATGAAGCTGCCTGGACAAGTGCCCAGAACCAGTTGGTTCCATGTGATAACTGTGGGCGTACCTTCCTGCCAGACAGACTAGTCGTCCACCAGCGGTCCTGTAAACCTAAAACAGCCAAGTAAAGCCTTCTCTCACAACCAAAGTGTTACAGAATTTAATCCCATTTGAAAATCATGGTGGGAAGGGGAGGTAAATGGGAGATAAAGTGGGATAACAGGTTCAGAGGCTGATAAAATAAGAGGGAATTGGGAGTGGTAGATACAGAGGCATGGCTGAAGTCCATCAAGGCATGGTCCCCATTCATTAATGTTTTTAACCAAGCTACCATGAATACTCTCTTTTTTGCTCTTAATTGATTGTGTAGACTTCAGTGATAATTCTTGGCACAGGCATGTTTGGGGATATATTTCCCCACTTTGTCATTTAACATTACAAAGGTGTTGTTATTCAGCATAATACTGACTTTAGCTTCCACAGGAAACATGGGAATCGATACCTGTCATTTCCTTCATTGACTTTTTCACGAACAAGACTTTACCTCATGAGTGAAAGTCATTATGTAGCTGAAAAGAGCTATGTGGGCAGTGGTAGGGTTCCAGTGCTCCTAGAGGCTATTTCTCAGTCCCAGTGAAACTTGGATCCCCTTCCCTTCCTAACCTCTCTGTTCTCCTGAATTATTCTGCTACTTTCCCCTTTCTGGGTCCAAAAAACAAATGTTAATTGAACAGAAGAGGTATTCAGATGGGGTTGTGAATTTGAAATATTGTGTCCAGTTTTCACTCAGCCCCTGTCCAATAGTCAGCTGGGGAGAACACTTATGGCCTCTTCCACCAAGGAAAGTCACAAAGAAATCATAGAATAAGTACCTCCCTCAAGGTTTAAGAGATCATCCAACACTGTTGTGTCAGAAAAGGGTGGAGATTACCCCCTTCCTTCTAACAGAAATCAACCTGGTCAGAGCTCCCAACTCCCTCATTAAGGTTCATAGGTATTTCATTATTGAGCTCCAATGGCCCTTCCAGGAAGGGCCTCCCCTCCCATGGTTCTTACACAGACTGCAAATTGTGAAACTATCATAACTCCTGGAGTCATGTGTGAGCACACTCACATACATATACATACACAGGCACATAGAGGCAGAGTTAACTTGGGAAGGGTCCAGGTCCTGCCAGGAGCCTAGCATAGAAAACCCTGCTCCCCTAGGCAGCTCCACTTCTCTCCAGCATCAGGCTTATTACTCTGTGCCTTTGTTCATTGTATGTCTCCCTTCCAGGGCCACACTAGATCAACTGATGTCCAGCAGACCCTACATTTGTGATCTTCCATAGTATATACAATTCCAGAATAGAGACAACTTGAGCTGTTCTGCCAATTTCATCCACATTTCTTCCTTCTATGATGAAGCAAGCCAGGAGAATGAGGCCAAACATTCTAGCTAGATTCACTAACAAGAAGCAGGACAAAGGAGCTATTTTTTATTTCTTACTATACCCTAGCAAGAGACATCCCTTACAGAAAGAATGGTTAGAGATCTGGACAGGGAGAAATGGGGTTTAGTACTTGCCTCTGACACCTAGGCAGAGGTATCTGACTCTGAACAACTCAATCTCTCAGTATTCTAGGCAACTCTGTAAGTCTGTATGTTGCAGAGACCCTACTAACCTGCATTGATAGAGGGAGTTCCTGAACCTGAGAGTTCCCTATAGCATGAAAATCACAGGTCCAGGCCATATCCCTTAGCTCTGGGTTCTTACCCTTTTTTTTTTGGCATTATGGAACTCTATTGGCAGTCTGGGACCTAACTTAACATGATGTCTTTGTAAGGTCACAAAATTGGTTGTAAATAACATCTTCATTTGTATTTTAGGGGAAGAGGGAGGAGTAGTAAGTAGCTTTGATTTATGTTAATCACTTGTGTGCCTAAAGCACAGCATCAGTAGAATTTGACAAATAGAATAGTTAAAACCTATGACAAATGTTAAAAGTCTATATATGATATTTAGTAATTATATCAAATAGGGATTCTAACCTTCAAATCCTGACTCTGCCATTTAATAATTTTGTGACCTTGGGCATATCACTTAATTCTGGGCCTCAGTTTCCTCATCCATAAAATGAAGATGTTAGCCTAGATAGCTTCTAAGTTCTCTTCTAGCTCTGTGAGTGTGTGGTCCCTGAACCTGCCACTAATTAGCTGTGATCTTGGGCAAGTCACTTCACCTCTCTAGATCTTAGTTTCCTCATTTGTAAAATGAGGGAAAAGGATTAGACGATGTTGAAGATCCCTTATACCTCAGTAATACTTCTACAGAATTGACTGTATATGTGTTGCTGGCCATTTTCAAAGATACACTTAGAATGAAGTGAATGTAAATAGGACTAGACTATTTGTTGGTATTTCAAAGGTTTATGCTGCATCCTACTAGGGCAAAGAAGCCAAAACATCTGCTCTGGCTCAGTCCTTTTATTGCACTTGGTATAATGGAAAGAATCTAAGGCATTTTACTCCCAACATATATTCAAACACAATTCTTGATTCTAAAGTGTGAGAGTCCTTGAAACAGCTGAAAGGGGTGAGTTTTATGTGAATCTTTCCAGAAGGAGAACCCTCAGCCTGGCTGAATTAATGCGCACTATGGCACAGCCCATCCTGAAATTTCTGCCTTGCCAGTGGTTTTAAGGGAGGGAGTCTCAAAATATATTATGTATTGAAATCTGGAATCAAGCAACCAATTTTAATGACATCAATGTACAATTGTTGGCAGGGTATCAAAACAATACAACAGCATTTCACTAAGAGGAAACAGTTTGCCTGCGCCTCCCCCAATTAATTGAAGAGGGGAAGGGAAAGGAGGAGAGAGAGAATGAGAGAGGAGAAGAGAAAGAAGGAGAGAAAAAAGAAAAGGGAGAAGGCAGAGAAAGGGGTGACGAAAGAGAGAGAGACGGAGACAAAAGATGAGGGAGGGAGGGAGGAAGGGGGGGAGAGAGAGAGAGAAAGAGAGAGAGAGAAGGAGGAAGGGAGAGAGACAGACAGAGACAGAGGAAAGGAGGGAGGGAAGGAGAGAGGAGAGGAGTCTCATCTGAATAAAAGAATTTCTTATATAGTGGATTGTACCTCTAGGAGTTAGGAATTCAAATCAAATTGAGAGAAGCAAAGTAACTGTTCTGAAGATTACTTCCTGTAGATGATACAAAACAGAGGTTAAAGTACTTGGAATTTTGGGAATGAGCTAAGCTGTTATTGGCACTGAGCATATTATCATTATTGTCCTTGTTAGTCCAGGCCTGTGATTTCATCTGTTTCAGGGGATTCTTGTTGTGGAAACAGCTGTAGAGTCACCTGGGGCACTGAGAGGTTAAAGTATTTATCCATGATCTTGTGGTTAATATGTGTCAGAGGTGGTACTTGAACCCAGATCCTCCTACCTCCCCCCCCACACTCTAGCCATTGTGCCCTGCTACCTCTCAATAGTATTTTACACAGCTAAAAATGCCATGACTCTGTTATCCCTATTAACTTCTGCTGAGCAAACTTTACTTTCCCTCCCTAGTGTATATAGTTGTTGAGTTGGGACATATTCCAGAATTTCTCTGATAATATTAACTTGAGTTGTCATTAAAGTCACTATCAAGGCAGGACAGAGTGTCCCTCACAGACAGGGAATGATGGGGACTGAATGTAGTCAGTACTGTATAAGGTTCTTAGTGTTAAAGGAGAGAGAGATTTCTTTCTGCTTAGGAAGAGACAATTCACCCTCTGATTTTACATGCATTTCTGTTAGAAATAGGTCATGTGAGCTCATCTGGCAACTTAGTAGCAACCACAGGAACCTCAGACTTGCAAATGGATATGAGTTGGCTATGGGCTGGAGGGAGCTGAATAGGAACGAAGGATATAGAAGGCAGTGCAAATACAAAGCCTCCGAGCTTTTAGAAGTGACAGGGTAGGGGTGGGAGATTGGAGGGTAGGAGGCTGCTCCTATCTCAGGAATATAATGTCAGGAATATCTCAGGCCTGAGACCCTCTCCTCCTGAGAGAAGCTGTTGATCTGGCTACTCCTAGCACACTCCTAGCTTTTTGAGACAGAAGAAGGAAGAAAGAGCCCTAGGGGCTCTGGGAATGAAATCAGACCTTGCGGGTCGCTAAGCTTCACTCATTCTGGTGTGGAACCATTTCGTGCCCTTTTATTCACCCTGCTTTATTTTTCCCTGCTTTGGCCAGACAGGAGGCAAGGGAAGGGAGAGGATCTTAACTTATTCTTTCACCTGTACTTAAGGGTGTATGCTTTCCCTAGGCAACTATTCACTTTCCCTTATCATAATGACTCATTGCCCAGACCACATAAATGGCTTTACCTGTTTCTGCTGGCACAGTACATTCCCTGTTACTACTGTGGAGAGAATTGAAAAATGTTTTCCTGCATTTGGAAAAAACAAAATCCACTGGTATGCTTACAGATTTGTAGCATTTTAGAGCTAGGAGAGAGAACCAATTCATTTTACAGATGAGGATATTGAGGCCCAGAGAAGTGATAATACCTGCCCAATGTCAAATAGTAAGTAATAGCAGAGATGGAACTAGAAACAGGTCACTTTCCACCCAATTCAGTTCTCATCCTACCACATGATGTTTTAATTGTTGACAATTACTCAAGGAAAGGAGCTATCTGGGGAGGTCATGAGAGGGAAATGAAGCTATATCACCAAGAAAAACTTCAGACTAGTGTCAGGAGACCTGAGTTCTAGTCCTACCTCTACAACTAATTTTATTAAGTCATTTAAGATCCCTTTCAATTCAAAATCCTCTGCTAGGATCTTGGGCAGGGCATTCTTTGGGCCTCAGGATCATCTGTAAAATCAGCTCTGACCTTCCAGATTCTGTTATTTTATGTACAAGGATGCGTACCCTAGAATGTACCCATGTTAAGCTCCCATTTTAAAATCTCATTGAAATTCAAGTTAACAAGTTTATAAACTTTTAAGCTCTTATAATTTGCCAGGCACCATGCTGAGGAAATACAAGCAGAAAGAAAGAGTTCTTGCCCTCAAGGAATTTACATTATAATGGGAGAAGAAAACATCTTTTTTTTTTTAAAGAAAAAGGGGGAACTGAAAAGATGGTCATGGGGTAGAGAGA